TCCCCTGTTTGGATTCTCATTTCAATGAATTGTAAACAACCATTCATCAAATGTTGAAGAGACAATTGGGAAAATCTAAACACTCTAAACTATATAATGATATTGAGGGATGACTGTTTAAACTTCTCAATTGTGACAATGACATTGTTAGTTATTCCTTGTGGTAACATCTCTCAAGATATATATCAGTTTTAACAGATGAAATGCCATGATTTCTGGGATTTGCTTCCAAATGATCCAGTGGCATGAGTCAAGTTGAAACAAGCCTGGCCATGGGGAGACTTCCCTGGGGGTCCAGTGGCCAAGACTCTCGGCTCCCAATGCAGGGGACCCAGGTTTGATCCTGGGTCAGGGAACTAGATCTCACGTACTGCAACGAAGCTCCCAAGTGCTACAACTAAGACCCAGTACAGCCAAAAAAAAAAAGAGATGGGCCATGAGTATTAGAAGATGTTGATGCTGGCTGTTGGTTAAGTGTGTGTGTGTGCTAAGTCACTTCAGTCCTGTCCTACTCTTTGCGACCCTATGGATCATAGCCCTCCAAGGACTGAACCCGCATCTCTTGGTTCTGTTGGATTGGCAGGTGGGTTCTTTACCACTAGCGCCACCTGGGAAGCCCTTCTTGGTTAAGCATAGGTTCACTATATTATTCTCCCTGGTTTTGAATATGCTTTAAGTTGTCCATAATAAAAGTTTAAAAAAGGTAGCTGCCCGATGCAAACTACTATATATAGAATGGATAAGCAACAAGGTCCTGAGATCAGATCAAGGAGCTCACCTTCTCCCACACATACATAAAAAATACACAACTTAGAAGGGTGGGATGGAGTGGGAGATGCGAGTGAGGTTCGACAGAGGGGAGACACATGTATACTTATGGCTGATTCACATTGATGTATGGCAGACACCAACACAATATTGAAAAGCAATTATCCTTCAATTAAATATAAATAAAGAAAAAATACATCTACAGGGAATCCCCTGGCAGTCCAGCGGTTAGGACTCTGTGTTTCCACAGCAGGAGACATGGGTTTAATCCCTGTGTTTAGTCGCTCAACCGTGTCTGACTCTTTGCAATCACTATGGACTGTAGCCCACCAGGCTCCTCTGTTCATGGAGATTCTCCAGGCAAGAGTACTGGAGTGGGTTGCCATGCCCTCCTCAATCTTTGGGGGAACTAAAATCTCACCTGCTGCCTGGCTGGAAAAAAAAGTCTACAGAACACTGGCAGATGTCAGACTTCTAAAAGGGCAAGAAAATCTCCACGAAACTGGTAGGACAAAAGGAAAAAAAATAGAGAGAGAAACAACAAGGTCCTACTGTATAGCACAGGGAACTCTACCCAACATCCTGTGATAAACCATAAGGGAAAGTAATTTTTTTAAAAAAAGAATGCCAAAAAAAAAAAAGCTGCCCAAGAAAAAGCCAAGATAATTTTGAAAAAAGAATGAGCAGAGACCTGCCTTACCAACCATTGAAATATTTTCTGGTGGCAACGACTTTCTAAATTACTGGGTTAGATCATGCAGCTGTTCCCACTGGGAATCTATCTTGCAGATGCCCTTGAACGTGGGGGAAGCCATGTGAGCACACAGTCACTCACTGTAACTGCAGCACATGTGCGGCAAAGGATTTAGGAATGACTATATAAACCTTGGCAGGGAACAAACGCTGATAATTTTTTTAAGATTTATTCATTTTTGGCTGCACTGGGTCTTCGTTGTGGCTCAGGGCTTTTCTCCAGTTGTGAGCGGGGGGCTGCTCTTAGCTGTGGTGCCTGGGCTTCTCATCGTTGCAGAGCCCGGGCTCAGCAGTTTCAGTTCTCAGGCTCTAGAACACAGGCTCAGTAGTTGTGGCACATCAGCTTAGTTGTTTCGTAGCATGTGGGATCTTCCCGGGCCAGGGATCGAACCCGAGTCACCTGCACTGGCAGGCAGATTCTGTATCACTGAGCCACCAGGAAAGCCCACTGATGCCTTTTGAATGATGAGTTACAACACAACCATAAAATAGAAAGCTTGCCTCCAAGACCTGTTATGTGGGGGCTGGCGGGGGGGAAGAGGTTAGAGCTCTGGATAGCAGTGCCTATTATTCTTTTTGTGAATGATGGGAAAACATGTGTACAGATTGCCTTATGTCTGGATAAAATGTGTCTGGAAGCCAGAACAGGAAACCAGATGACATTAGTTGTCTCCCAGGGAGGTGACAATGGTGGCTGAAGGACAGAGATGGGAAACATTTCAGTACTTATGTCAATATTACCCATCCAAAAAAAAGAGGTGGGGGGAGGATTTAGAATTATACTGAATATTTTATTTAATTATTTTAAAATTAACCTAATCAACCTTTTACTTTTTATGTATTTATTTTAAAAATATTTATTTGGCTGCAGCAGGTCTTAGTTGCTGGCTCGTGGGAGCTTTGATCTTCATTGCAGCACATGAGATCTCTAGTTGCTGCCTGTGAACTCTTAGTGTGGCATGTAGGATCTAGTTTCCAGACCAGGGAATTGAACCTAGGCCCCCCTGCGCTGGGATTGTGGAGGATTAGCCATTGAACCACCAGGGAATTCCCTTATTATTTAATTTTAAAAGCCATTAGATGAACTTCCCTGGCGACCCAGTGGTTAGGACTCTGTGGTTTTACCACTGTGGGCCTGGATTTAATCCCTGCTTGGAGATCTAAGATCCTGCAAGTTGCATGTATGGCCAGAAAAAAGAAAAGAAAAAACAGTTATAAAAAGAAAATAACACTAGATTCATGTGAAGTTGTCCAGTCAGGAAAGCTGCAATGCAGAGGGTCTTAAGAAATCCCTGGGGAAAGAAATTTAACTGTCTTCCACAATGTAGCTTCCCTGGCAGCTCAGCTTGTAAAGAATCCACCTGCAAAGTGGGAGACCTGGGTTCAATTCCTGGGTTGGGAAGATCCCCTGGAGAAGGGAAAGGCTACTCATACCAGTATTCTGGCCTGGAGAATTCCATGGACTATATAGTCCACAGGGTCAAAAAGAGTCAGACACGACTGAGAGACTTTCATTTCACAATGTAGCTGACCCATCTCAAGAACACCCATTAAGTAGAAACAAGTTGGCAAACACCAGATTAATAATGATATCAAATGTTTATTAAGAACTTATTTGCATATCTCTCTGGTAAGCATTTGATGACCTTACTAGCTCTTTACATTAGTTCTGCAAGGCAGCATGATCTCCATGCTGTCCAAGGGACCCTCAAGAGTCTTCTCTAGCACAGTTTGAAAGCATCAGTTCTTCAGCATTCAGCCTTCTTTATGGTCCAGCTCTCACATGGACATCATGCTCCTTAAAGGAAATCAACCCTGAATATTCATTGGAAGGACTGATGCTCAAGCTCCAATACTTTGGTCACCTGATACGAAGAACTGACTCACTGGAAAAGAACCTGATGCTGGGGAAGACTGAAGGCAGGAGAAGGGGGTGACGGAGGATGAGATGGTTGGATGGCATCACTGACTCAATGGACATGAGTTTGAGCAAACTCTGGGATATGGTAAAGGACAGGGAAGCCTGGCGTGCTGCAGTCCATGGGGTTGCAAAGAGTCAAACTGAACAAGAGTAACTGAACAACGAGGCAGCAAGCAGGAATATCCCAAGTTCACAGTTGAGAGCTCAGGCACAAAGAGGGGAAGCCATGTGCCTGAGGTCACACAGTGAGAAAAGGGGGAAACTGGCAATGTTATCATGGCATGTGGTCCCCCAATCCTTCGTTGATATATTTGACATATATCTTGAGGGCCTTCTGTGTTCTAGGCACTGATCTATATTGCTGGCTGGTTAGCGGTGAGCAAAGGCTGAAGACTTGAATCCCGCTTCTTCTGCAGCGAGTGTCTGGCCCTAGGTGCAGTCCTCAGGGGAGCAGATCCTTGCTGAAAAAGGGCCCAGGGACCACACCTCTAGCAGAGGAAATACCAGTTTATACCCTGTCCGGGGAGATAGTGGGCTCAAAGGGCAGGAGATAGGGGAGGGCAGAAAGATCAGATTCGGGACTTCCATGGTGGTCCAGTGGCTAAGACTCCACACTTCCACTGCAGGAGACATGGGTTTGATCCCTGGTTGGGGAACTAAAGTCCCACATGCTTTGAGTGGCGTGGCCAAAAAAAAAAAAAAAAATCAAATTCAAGAGCCTGGTTAGCTCCTTGCTTGTCCTGGGTCCCTCAGGAGTCTATGTCAAGCTCATGACTTTGGAAGGGTCTGTGATTTGAATGTTGTATCCCTTTAAAATTCCCATGTGGAAATCCTAAATTCCAAAAATGGGGCTTCCCAGGTGGCTCAGTGGTAAAGAATCCGCCTGCCAATGCAGGAGACACAGGAGATGCAGGTTCGATTCCTGGGTCAGTAAGATACCCTGGCATAGGAAATAGCAACCCTTTCAGGATTCTTGCCTGGAAAATTCCATTGACAGAAAAGCCTGGTGGGCTACAGCCTATAGGACTGCAGAGAGTTGGACATGACTGAGCACACACATGTATGCATGCACGCACATGTGCACGCACGCACACATACACAAAGTGATGGTATTAGGAGGTGCATAGGTCATGAGGGTGGTGCCTTCCTGAATGTGATTAGTGCCCTTATAAAAGAGGCTCCAGAAAGATGCCTTGCCCCCTTCCACCTTGTGAGGACACAGTGAGAAGGCATAGGCTATGAACCAGGAAGAGGGCTTTTACCAAAATTCAACCATGTTGGTGCCTTGATCTTGGACTTCCTAGCCTCCAGAACCATGAGAAATAAATTTCTGTTGTTTATAAACCACTCGGTCTGCAGTATTTTGTTATAGCAGTCCAAACGGAGTAAGTCTAGGAAAGTCAGTTCCCCGGGGTGGGGTCTCCCGATGGTGGTAAGGCACTGTGAGTCGGTGAGGCTGGCCTGCCACCTTGAGCTCCTCTTAGGTTAAGGGCCAGGAGTTGCTCTCAGTGGGTGTACTGTCTGCTCCAATCCCCTCAAACAGAGCTGCTGGGGGGCTTCAGCAGACACTGAACACTGAGGGGGCCTGGCCTTGGTATTTCTCGTGGTATGATCTGAGGATGGGTACGAGGTTCTGGAAGGTCGGGCGGAATGAGGCCTCTGCCTTCCAGCAGTCCTTCATGAGGGAATAGATCTGGGGAAAGGAAAAAGTTTGTTATAGCAGTGCAAACGGGGTAAGTCTAGGAAAGTCAGTTCACTGGGGTGGGGTCTCGGGATAGCGGTAAGGCACTGGGAGTCAGGGAGGCTGGCTTCACCAGGTGGGGAACTCCACTCTCTCCCTGGTCCAATAGTGGGGAAGGGGGGGAGGGAGGATCTCACCTCAGAGGGGCATCTCTCTGGCTGTGGCAGCCTCTCCCCTCGTTCCAACAGCTCCGTGAGCCTCAGCACGGTCATCTGTCCCTGGGTGAGGCCTATGAGCTCGATGAATTTCTACAGAAGAAACAAGAGCAGCTGTTTTTTAAGAGGTAAAGCTGCCTCAATAGAGGTCAGGAGCCAGGAGCCAGATGGCAGGGATTCTAAGGGACCCTCGGGGGCCAATAGAGGAAGAGATGGTTGGATGGCATCACCAATTCAATGGACATGAACTTGGGCAAACTTCAGGAGATGTGAGGGATAGGGAAGTTTGGCATGCTTCAGTTCATGGAGTTGCAAGAAGTCAGACATAATTTGGCAACTAAACAACAACCATTTCTCAGCTGTATAACTTTAGACTTATGACTTCACCTCTCTGGGCCTTGGTTCTCTCATCTGTAAAATGGGTGATAAAAGCTACCACCTGGGGTTATTGTGAAGTTGGAGAAAACTTTTTTTTTTCTCTCTTTTGGCCACACCATGTGGCATCTGGGATCTTAGTTCCCCCACCAGGGATTGAACCTGCACGCCCTGCATTGGAAGCAAGGAGTCTTAACCATTGGGCCACCAGGGAAGTCCCTAGATAAACTAATATTCATAATGTAAGTCTGGATTAGATGTTTGGTGTTATTATTAAGCCTCCTAGCTAGTTGTTTTTTTTTTTTTTTTAGTTGTTTTTGCCTGTCGAGAATCTTATTTTCTCTTCTCCTATATACGCACTTTGATTGGCTTTGGGCATAAAGCCCTCGCATACTCCAGGCTCCTCCTCTCGGTCCAGAACTACACAGTTCCTCAAGGGCACGTGAACCAAGCTGGACCAGTCAGAGAGTCCTGAATCATGCTGGAAGGAGAAAGATCCTCCTCCTCTCAGCTAGGTCCACTGTGGCCAAAGCAGAGGGTGGGCTTGCTTTTTTTTTTTTTTAAAGGGAAGGCCCACTTGAGAAATGCTGTCCTGTGCTGTGTGTAGTCACCCGACTACCATAGTTTCCGACTCTTTGCGACCCCGTAGGCTGTAGCCTGCCAGACTCCTCTGTCCATGGAATTCTCTAGGTAAGAATACTGGAGTGAGTTGCCAAGCTCTCCTCCAGGTGGAGTGAGTTGCCAAGCTCTCCTCCAGGGGATCTTCCCAACCCAGGGATCAAACCCAGGTCTGCCACATTGCAGGCAGATTCTTTACCATCTGAGCCACCAGGGAAGCCCATGAATACTCGAGTGGGTAACCTATTTCCAGGAATCGAACTGGAGTCTCCTGTATTGCAGGCAGATTCTTTACCAGCTGAGCTACCTGGAAAGCCCCGAGAAATGCTAACAGTGGTTAAGACTCCACATCCCACTGCATGGGGCACAGGTTCAACCCCTGTCACGGATCTAAGATCCCTCATGCTGAGTGGTGTGGTGGGGGGAAAAAAAAAAAAAAGCTACCACAGAGAACAGCAGAGTCAAGAGATGGAGAAAACTGGGTTCCTAATGGCATCTGACGATCTAGATCAAACCATGTTTCCACTGTCCCCCCTGTGGTTTGCAAATGGCAGAATTAGCTGTTCCTATATGAGTGAGTTTCTGTCACAGTCAAAGCCCTTTGCAGTGTAAGTGGCCAACTTTACAGAACTGTGAGGCACACCCATGGGGTTGGTGTGCGGGCCTGGCTCTCACCGAGGGGGGGCTCTGGCTGGAGTCACAGTAGGTCAGCAGTTCATACATGAGGACCCCAAAGGACCAGACGTCCGATGCATAGTAGAACTTACACTCCTTCAGGCACTCCGGGGCATACCTGGGGAGAAAGGGCACTCAAGCCATGGGCCAGGCCAGATTGGAGTCCTTATCTGAGGCTCAGGAGCCCTGTGGCCCCAGTTAGGGCCCCACCCTTAAGAGTGGAGGGGCTGGGTCACTGAACCCAGGCCCTGTCGTCTGGGACGCCAGCATCCATCTACTCCACCCTGTCTGCTCCGGGTGACCATGGGGCCGCAAACACCCACCCCTTCCGCTGGGTCCCGCCTGGTTACCAGAACACAGGACTGTCCCCATCCTCGCGCACGCAGTAGTACTCGTGGCCCTCGGGCACGGCCTTGGTGAGGCCGAAGTCCCCGATCTTGACCAGCCTGTTGTTGTCCAACAGCACGTTGCGCGCGGCCAGGTCTCGATGCACGTAGTGCTGTGTGTGCAGGTAGGCCATACCCTGGGGGGCGGGGCGAGTCTGGCTCAGGGGGGCAGGGCCTGGCCGAGGAGGCGTGACCAGGATGGCACGGACCAGGCGTGAGAAGTGGGCAGGATGGCAGATGGGGCGGGGGCAGAGCCAGACAGCAGAGGAGGGGCCGCGAGGGGGCGCTCGCGGGCAGGGGGGGGGCAAGAGAATCAGGAGGAGCCAGGCGCGCGGCGGGACCACGTCAGCGGTGGGAATGACATGGGTTGGGGGGTTCTGGGCCGGCGGGGGTGTGGCCCTATGATGGATGATTGGCTGGATGGATAAGGATTGAGGAGAGCACGCCCAGGGATTGCGGGTCGAGGCCAGCAGAGGGGATCGGAAGCTCAGGCCAGGCCAAACAGGGGGCAGGTTCTGGGAGTAGGGGCGGGCTGGCCCACCTCGCAGATCTGCAGGGAGAAGAGCAGCAGCTGGACCAGCCCGACATTGTGCCGGGGCAAGTAGTCTCGGAGACTGCCCAGGGGCATGTATTCCATGACCAGCTGTACCGACTTCTCGCCTGACACCAGAGACGGGCAGCCCATAAGGGTGGTGGAGGCTAGGACCGCGGGCTGTCCACCCTGCACCCCTTAATATCAAAGTGGGGAGGGAGAGCCAAGACCCGTCCACACTAGGACCGGTCCTCAGCGGGGACCATCAAATCTCGACCTGTCCCCTGGCAAGGGAGCTGACATGGCTCCCACCCATCCCGACCTCAGAAAAGTATCTCAGAATGGCAAGGAGGCAGCCCGGCCTCACCCACCTTGGTGTCCACAAAGGGCATCCTCCGCCTAGGACTGAGAGGCGGAGGTCATGACCAGGTCATGTTGGCCCCGCCCCCAAAGCCCCACCCAAGCTCTAGTCCCGCCTCATTACATTTCTGGGCCCCGCCTACCTTGGTCCTCGCAGCAGCCCTTGTACTTGACGATGTGCTTGTGGTAGAGGGTGCGTAGGATGTCAATTTCTCGCCTCCAGCTCGACCGGAGCTGGGGACCGCAGTCTGCCTTGAGGGCCTTCACGGCTACCATCTCACCAGTGCTGTCATTGTTCGGGTCGTAGCAATACAGGCTGACCTTTCCGAAGTGACCCTGGCCGGAGTGTGCAGGAGGGTCGGCCCCACCCCAGCTCCCCAAGCCCACTTTCTAGGCAGGTCTATTTGGAAAATCCTAGGCCCCGTCTGCTCCTTGTTGATGGGGACCTCTGGAAGCCGAGGCTGCCCTTTCAATTCCCCAGGGCCCCCCTTGAAGCTGAGGGTCTCTAAGACCAGAGATTTCTTACAGCCGAGGCCCTGCTGCCGGTCTTCCAGGCCCCACCCTGGGCATCCAGGTCCCGTCCCCAGCCCTCAAGGCCCTGCCCTCACCTCACCCAGATCACGGATCTTTTTCAAATATCGCTTGTTGAAAACCGTGGGATCTGAAGCAAGTGAATCCGGGCTCACAGACAAGACATCAGCGAGATCTGGAAGAGCCACGGTGGGTGAGTCCAGACAACCGCCCTCTCCCCCAATGAGCCCACACTTGGGGGCACAGAAAACCGATGACTGCTACCCACCCGCCCCCCCCCCCCAGCTCTGATCCTCCAGACAAGGAAACTTTTTTTTGCAAGGGCTGAAAAATTCCATTTGTCTAAAATGCATAGTTGACTGCACCAAAATCGACACCTGGGATGTTTTGAGATTGAGTTAAGGGCACAAACTTTTCATTAACAACCAAAACATTTGCCAGGGTCTAATGCATCCAAAGAAGTTGTGGCTCTCCCCAAGCAAAACACTGAGAGCTGCGGGCCGGAGGGGGAGGGGCTTCCCTGGTGGTCCAGAGGTTAAGAATCTGCCTTGCAATGTAAGGGACACGGGCTTGATCCCTGGTCCAGGAAGATCTCATGTGCTGCAGGGCAGTTAAGCCCCTTGTGCCGCAACTACTGAGGCCCACACGCTGCAATTACTGAAGCCCATGCACCTAGAATCAGCGTTCTACAAGAGAAGCCACTGCAATGAGAAGCCCAAGCACCACATCTAGAGAATAGCCCCTGTTCACCACAACTAGAGAAAGCCCACACACGCAGCAACAAAAGCCCACCACAGTCAAAAATTAAAAAAAAAAAAAAATCTTGTTTTTTAAACGGAGAGCTTGGATATTCTCTCCCTTCTGCTTAAGTGAATTAGAAACCCACACATACTCTAAGCCACTGTATGGAGACTTGGGGGCACCATGCCTGGGCCAGCAGGGATCCCAGCCCCTCCCTCCCTCCTCCAGGGTCCCCGCCCTGGCGCCGTGCTCACTCTGGGGCTGTAGCTGAGTGAAGTCACGCAGGATGGTGCGGAAGGACGGCCGCTGGGCTGGCTCGTAGGTCAGGCACTGGCTGGTGAGTGTGGCCAGCTCTGGGCACGAAGGCTCGGGCAGTTTGTGCTGCTTCTGGTAGAAGCGCTCTTTCTGGTGGGGAGGAGACTAGGAGTCAGTGTACGCCCTCAGTCTTGGTCCCGCAGGAGACGGAGTCAAGTCCTCAGGGGGACAGGGTGGACCAGTGGGCTCCCTGATCCTGTCATTTTACAGATGAGGTCACTGAGCCTCCACAAAGAGATGGAGAGCTGGCCATCACTGCAGAGTCTGGCCTGGAACCCAAGTCCAGCCAACTGTGCTGTGCTGGAGCATCTCAACCTTGGCCTTTTCTGCTTGGATTTCCACCTGCCTCTGAGGATGGAAAGGAGGCAGCCAGGCCTCGCCCACCTTGGTGTCTACAAACAGCATCCTCCGCCTGGGACTGAGAGCCTCTAAATGTCCAGGTCCTACTGGCGCCACCCACCAACTCCCAGGAAGTTCCTATGGTCTTCAGCTCCCTGAATGCACTAAAGCCCCCCAACCTTTGCAGAGGCTGTGTCCGCCACCTAGGCTGCCCTTCCCAGCCTGGGACATTGTGGTACTTCTGCACTTGGATTAAAACCTCCTCTGGGAAGTGTTGTCCCACCCCTCAGCTGGGTCAGGGGCATCCTCTGGGAACCCCTCCTCTCGACAGCCTGTGCTTCCTCCTTGATGGCCTGGACACACTGCCTAAAACAAAAGCACGTGACCTGGGACGTCCCTGGTGATCCAGTGGTTAGGAATCCGCCTTCCAGTGCAGGGTATGTGGGTTCAATCCCTGGGTGGGGAACTAAAGATGCCACACGCCATTGGGCAACGAAGCCCGTGCGCCGCAACCAGAGAAGCCTGTGTGCTGCAGCTACTGAGCCCTTGTCCTCTAGAGCTCAAACGCCACAACCAGAGAGCTGACACATGGCAGTGAAGACCCAGAGCACCCCAAAATTTAAAAAACAATCAATCATACATTAAAAACTGTTACTTTATAAAAATAAATAAAGTGTGTGACTATCTGCCAGGACCATGACCTTATGCGGCTTCCCAGGTGGCCTTAGTGGTAAAGAACCAGCCTGCCGACGCAAGAGATGTTAAGAGTCGTGGGTTCGATCCCTGGATCGGGAAGATTCCCCTGGAGGAGAACATGGCAACCCACTCCAGTATTCTTGCCTAGAGAATCCCATGGACAGAGGAGCCTGGCGGGCTGCAGTCCGTAGGGCTGCAGGGTCACACACAACTGAAGCGACTGAACACGCACAACCTTATGAGGTCGGGACTGCATTTCACTGCAATTGACAGAAGAAACTGATGGAGCCCCAGCAAGATGAGGCTGCACGGCCAGAGGGGAGGCAGCTCTGAACCCTGAAACGTGCCCTCTGGATTCCTTGGGGGGTGCCAGCCCTCTTTGTGGGAAGGGCCCAGGGGTGCTCCGGCCATACCTCAGAGGGACTGCGGCCCTGCAGGGGGGCCTCGCCGTCAAAGCAGATCTCCAGGAGGGTGGCACCAAAGCCCCACTTGTCGGCTGCGGTGCTCAGGCTGTGGGCTCCACCAGACAGGCACTCGGGGGCTGTCCAGGGGATCCGCTCCACCCGCTCTGGGGGCCAGGGTCAGAGGTCAGCAAGGTAAAAGGAGTGGGGCAGCCCGTCCCTGTGCCCAGCACCTCCTGGGTCCTCACCCTCCCTGGAGAGCACACTCAGTCCCACGCCTGGGTCGCTCAGCTTGATGAAGGGGCTGGTGCCCTCCGCCAGCCCCAGCCGTGCCAACAGGATGTTCCGGCCACACACGTTGCCATGAACCAGGCTTTTGTCTTCCTGGAGTGGGGTGGAAAGGGGGCGTGGCCACTGGGAGCTATAGATCCTACCCCTACCCATCCCACATGGCCCATGTGAAAAAGACAATTGTGGTTATTATGGATATGGCAGTACATTGTCATAATGACAAGGCAGCCCAAGGTCCCCAGTGAGTCCTTCATGTTTTCCCAGCACTGGAGGCCAAGGCTCTTAGACAGGGACAAAAGGCCAGAGGACCCCACTGTTGTCCTCAGCCAGTGTCAGGTACACTCCTGCCCCAGGGCCTTTGCATTGTCTGTTCCTGCTGCCTGGAATGCACTGCCCATAGTTGTCCTCATACCCCCCACCCCTGACCCCACGTCATCTCCAGGTCCCCTTGGTGAGACCTTCCCCAACCCACCTAATTTAAGGCTTCACCTCTTCCCCAAACTGCAGCAAATCCTCATCTCCACCTCTGCTTTTTTCCCCACAGTTCTTGCTATTTTCTGACACATCATGTAATATACTTAATTATTACTGGGCTGGGCAAAAAGTCCATTCAGGTTTTTCTGTAAGATACTATGGAAAAGCCAGAACAGACTTTTTTTTTTCCAGACTTTTTGACCAACCCAATATTTCTTGTTTAATCCCCTCCAAGTATAATGCTAGCTTCCCCCAAGAATGGAGACTCCTGCCTATTTTATTGTCTCCTGGGTCCCCAGGGCCTAGGACAGAGCCTGGCACACAGAGGGTGTTCTGGAAATGGGTGACTGGACCAAAGGGGGCTGGGGATGAATGGCAAGAAAGAGCAAACAGAAGCAACTACCTTAGGGTCTTGGATATCATGCTGGGGAGTCAGGGGGACATGGGAGCCACAGGGGTGGGTGAGCAGAGGAGGTTCATGGAAAGATCTAGTGGGTAGAGGGGTGTGTTGAGGCCTCCATACCCAATGCAGGGGCTTCCCAGGTGGCACCAGTGGTAAAGAACCCGCCTTTCAATACAAGAGACATTAGGGATGTGGGTTCAATCCCTGGGTCAGGAAGATCCCCTGGAGGAGGGCATGGCAACCCACTCCAGTGTTCTTGCCTAGAAAATCTCATGGACAGAGAAGCCTGGCAGGTTACAGTCCACAGGGTTGCAAAGAGCCAGACATGACTGAAGTGACTTAGCAAGCATGCTCTCCTGAATGTGGGGGCTGTCCTGGCCCTCACCACCCACCCAGGCCCGGCCTGCAGGCCACGCACCAGGTAGCTGAGGGCGCTGGCCAGCTGCTGGGCCACTGCCAACTTCCAGGCCAGGGGCACGCGGCCCCTCTCCCGCCGCAGCCACACGTCCAGGGGCCCGTGCTCCACGTACTCGGTGACCATGATGTCTGCAAAGGCCCGGTCACTCTAGGTGCTGCACGCCCGCACACCCTCCAGAGTGCCGGGGGCAGGGCCTAGGGGCTGTGGCTCCCCTGGGGCGGGGAACCAGGCGAGACTCGGCAGTGACTTTGGGGAGAACAGAAACGTGGGGTGGAGTGCAGGCTGAGGTGGGGGCAGGATGAGGCCAAGGTGCAAGGTGGCATTGGGGACCAGGGTAGGGCTGCAGCAGAGGAGGCTGAGGGTCAGGATGGAGGTCAGAGGGGCCTGGGGAGCCGGGGAGGGGCAGACGCTTGGAGGGAGAGGAGCTGGAGGTTGGAGCCTGAGTGACACTTGGATCCCCCAGGGCTGGGGTACCTGCGCACTGGGAGGGGTGCGGGGTCAGCACGCGGGCCGGTATCGGGGAGAGAGCAGGGGAGATGGGCCTCTGGGTCTGGAGGCTACCCATGGCCACCCTATACAATGAAGTACACGCAGAGGAGGCGGGGTGGAGGATCAGGGGCTGAGGTCTGGGAAGACAGGCGGGCCAGCAAGGCTGAGGTCTGCTGGGGCCACAGCATAGAAGGGGTCAGAAGGTATACAAGGCTGGGACTGCAGAGGTGTCTGGTGGTGAAGGGAGTTTGGGATGCAGTCTGGAGTCAGAGTGGAGGTGGAGGGTTGGGGGGTAGCCAGGGATCAGGGTGCCGGTAAGGGATAAAGTGTAGACAGGGTTCAGGGTGTAGGTGAGAGCTGAACAGGCACAGATTGGAGGGTGGTCAGGGCTCGGCGTGTAGGTCAGGGATAAGGATGAAGGTTAGGATATAAGTGGGGCCGGGCTGTCAACGGGGCGGGGATGTTAGGGGTCCGTGTGCCAGGGGGAGGGGACAGGCCACTCACTCTCGGAGCCGTGCACAAGGACGCCGTGGACGAAGACCAGATGCACGTGGGAGACCTGGCTCATGAGGCTGGCTGTCTCGTAGAAGGCCTGTGGGGACGCGGCAGGTCAGGGGCCGCAGACCCCTTCATCCTGCCCCAGCCCCCGGCTGCGCTCACTCACCAGGGCGATGTCGTGGTGACTGGGGTCTAGCACCTTGAGTACCACACGCAGCTTCTGCCCATGGTCCCCAGCGGGCACGGGGGGTTCCTCGCCATCTGCCTTGTCCTCCTCGGGGCCTCTGCCCCCCACTCGCAAGAGGCCCTCATACACGTTGGTCCTTGTGCCCTGGCCCAAGTGGGATAGCTGGGGGAAGGTGGAGGGGAAGATCTCAATGACAACGGCTTAAGGCTGCCTCTCTGGTGCCCCATACCTTCAGGGTTCCTTCCCCCCCCACCCCCCCATCCCCTATCCCAGTCTCACCCCCCCCAGCCAGCTCCCCACTTGCCCCCCACCCCCCCACCCCTGCCACGCACCTGGGTGATATCTTCCTGGCAGATCCGGTAGAAGCTGAGATGACTGAGATTGAGCGGTCTGGTGCTGGCCTGAGGCCCACGTGTGACGATGAGGTTGGAGATCTCTGGGGGTGGGAGCAGTCCCTGAGGGCTGTCACAGATGGGAGAGACCTCCCCCCACCCCAATTCCCTCGAGGCACCCCCATCTCCGTACCTCCCGGCCGGGGCAGGCAGCAGCGACGCAGGGAAAAGCAGTCGTCACCGGCCCGCAGCGAACAGTCCTGCAGGGCGGCCCGCAGGTCCCGCACGCTGGGGAAAGATCGGCCCCAGCCCTCCAGCATGACTGTCCCGGCCCGGAGCTCAATGGGGAACTTCCGCAGGCGCAAGCCCTTGGTGCCGGGAGCCTGGAGCTGGCGGCGGCAGGGGTGGCGGCGGTGAGCAGGGGTCCAGGCAGGGAGCGCGCCCAGCCCCGGCCCAGGACTCCAACCCCACGCCCACCTGGTCGCACTGGGCCACTGTGAGGATGAGGCGGTGGAGGTGGCTGGTGCTCCAGTGGATGAGGTAGAGGCCAGCCTCGGGCTTCAGCTTGGCCAGCACGAATGGCTCCCTAGGGGGGTGGTGGGCAGGGAGCGGGGGACCATTACGGCAGCTGGGGGCACTGCTGGACCCACGCCTGGCAACAAGGACACACAAAACCTGCCCAGCAGGGCACTCTCCCAGCCTGGAGAACTGTCAGTCACTGTGTCTGAACACACACATGAAATGTCACACTGTCCCACGCATGAAAACTCACACACAGACATGGAACAGGCACACACTCGTGCATAATAATTGTCAGACACCGTGGCAAACAAGGCCACACACACACACAGGAAACAGCTGTCAGATGGCAGATGGACACACGCCCAGCCACAGACCCCACCACTAGCAGTTCAGTTCAGTTCAGTTCAATCGCTCAGTCGTGTCCAACTCTTTGCGACCCCGTGGACTGCAGCACACCAGGCCTCCCTGTCCATCACCAGCTCCCAGAGTTTACCCAGACTCACGTCCATTGAGTCAGTGATGCCATCCAACCATCTCATCCTCTGTCATCCCCTTCTCCGCCCGCCTTCAATCTTTTCCAGCATCAGGGACTTTTCAAATGAGTCAGTTCTTTGCATCAGGTGGCCAAAGTATTGGAGTTTCAGCTTCAGCATCAGTCCAATGAATATTCAGCAATATTCCAATGAATATTCAGGACTGATTTCCTTTAGGATGGACTGGTTGGCTCTCCTTGCAGTCCAAGGGACTCTCAAGAGTCTTCTCCAACACCACAGTTCAAAAGCATCAATTCTTCAGCACTCAGCTTTCTTTATGGTCCAACTCTCACACCCATACATGACTACTGGAAAAACCATAGCTTTGACTAGATGGATGTTTGTTGGCAAAGTAATGTCTCTGCTTTTTAATATGCTGTCTAGGTTGGTCATAACTTTTCTTCCAAGGAGTAAGCGTCTTTTAATTTCATGGCTACAGTCACCATCTGCAGTGACTTTGGAGCCCCCAAAAATAAAGTCTGTCACTGTTTCCACTGTTTCCACACCTATTTGACATGAAGTGATGGGACCGGATGCCATGATCTTAGTTTTCTGAATGGTGAGTTTTAAGCCAACTTTTTCACTCTCCTCTTTCACTTTCATCAAGAGGCTTTTTAGTTCATCTTCACTTTCTGCCATAAGGGTGGTGTCATCTGCATATCTGAAGTTATTGCTATTTCTCCCAGCAGTCTTGACTCCAGCTTGAGCTTCATATGGCCCAGTGTTTCTCATGATGTACTCTGCATATAAGTTAAATAAGCAGGGTGACAATATACAGCCTTGACGTACTCCTTTTCCTATTTGGAACCAATCTGTTGTTCCATGTCCAGTTCTAACTGTTGCTTCCTGACCTGCATACAGATTTCTCAAGAGGCAGGTCAGGTGGTCCAGTATTCCCATCTCTTTAAGAATTTTCCAGTTTGTGGTGATCCACACAATCAAAGGCTTTGGCATAGTCAATAAAGCAGAAATAGATGTTTTTCTGGAACTCTCTTGCTTTTTCAATGGTCCAACGGATGTTGGCAATTTGATCTCTGGTTCCTCTGCCTTTTCTAAATCCAGCTTGAACATCTGGAAGTTAACTCGGTTCATGTACTGTTGAAGCCTCACTTGGAGAATTTTGAGCATTACTTTACCAGTGTGTGAGATGAGAACAATTGTGTGGTAGTTTGAGCATTCTTTGGCATTGCCTTTCTTTGGTGTTGGAAGGAAAACTGACCTTTTCCAGTCCTGTGGCCACTGCTGAGTTTTCCAGATTTGCTGGTGTATTGAGTGCAGCCAGCACTTTCATAGCATTATCGTTTAGGATTTGAAATAGCTCAACTGGAATTCCGTCACCTCCTTTGTTCTTAGTGATGCTTCTTAAGGCCCACTTGACTTGGCATTCCAGGATGTCTGGCTCTAGGTGAGTGATAATACCATCCTGCTTATCTGGGTCATGAAGATCTTTTTTGTACAGTTCTTCTGTGTATTCTTGCCACCTCTTCTTAATATCTTCTGCTTCTGTTAGGTCTATACCATTTCTGTCCTTTATTGAGCCCATCTTTGCATGAAGTGTTTCCTTGGTATCTCTAATTTTCTTGAAGAGAATTCTCGTCTTTCCAATTCTATTGTTTTCCTCTATTTCTTTGCATTGATCGCTGAGGAAGGCTTTTTTTTTTTCATTTATTTTTATTAGTTGGAGGCTAATTACTTTACAATATTGTAGTGGTTTTTGCCATACATTGACATTAATCAGCCATGGATTTACATGTGTTCACCATCCCGACCCCCCCTCCCGCCTCCCTGCCCATCCCATCCCTCTGGGTCTTCCCAGTGCACCAGCCCCGAGCACTTGTCTCATGCATCCAACCTGGGCTGGTGATCTGTTTCACCCGTGATAGTATACTTGTTTCACTGCTGTTGTCTCAGAACATGCCACCCTCGCCTTCTCCCACAGAGTCCAAAAGTGTGTTCTGTACATCTGTGTCTCTTTTTCTGTTTTGCATATAGGGTTATCGTTACCATCTTTTAAAATTCCATATATATGCATTAGTATACTGTATTGGTCTTTATCTTTCTGGCTTACTTGACTCTGTATAATGGGCTCCAGTTTCATCCATCTCATTAGAACTGATTCAAATGAATTCTTTATAATGGCTGAGTAATATTCCATTGTGTATATGTACCATAGCTTCCTTATCCATTCGTCTGCTGATGGGCATCTAGGTTGCTTTGAGGAAGGCTTTCTTATCTCTCCTTGCTATTCTTTGGAACTCTGCATTCAAATGGGTGTATCTTTCCTTTTCTCCTTTGCTTTTCGCTTCTCTTCTTTTCACAGCTATTTGTAAGGCCTCCTCAGACAGCCATTTTGCTTTTTTGCATTTCTTTTTCCTGGGGATGGTCTTGATCCCTGTTTCCTGTACAATGTCATGAGCCTCCGTCCATAGTTCATCAGGCACTCTATCAGATCTAATCCCTTGAATCTATTTCTCACTTCCACTGTATAACTGTAAGGGACTTGATTTAGGTCATACCTGGATGGCCTAGTGGTTTTCCCTACTTTCTTCAACTTAAGTCTGAATTGGCAATAAGGAGTTCATGATCTGAGCCACAGTCAGCTCCTGGTCTTGTTTTTGCTGACTGTATAGAGCTTCTCCATCTTTAGCTGCGAAGAATATAATCAATCTGATTTCGGTGTCGACCATCTGGTGTCCATGTGTAGTCTTCTCTTGTGTTGTTGGAAGAGGGTGTGTGCTATGATCAGTGCGTTCTCTTGGCAAAACTCTATCAGCCTTTGCCCTGCTTCATTCTGTACTCCAAGGCCAAATTTGGCTGTTACTCCAGGTGCTTCCTGACTTCCTACTTCCTACTCGTGCCGCCACTCCCAGGCTGGCACACACACGGAGGTCAGGGATCACAGACACGGCTGCGCCCGCGGTGTAACATGGCAGCCCCAGGAGCTGGCCGCCCAGACCCAGAGGTGAGCACGGTCACAAACACGAACAGGTACCGTAAGGCGGCCCACGGGCCCCGGCAGCCACACAGACTGAATGTTTGCGTCCCCCTAAAATTCCTGTTGGGCTCCCCTGGTGGCTCAGCGGATAAGGATCCAGCTGCCAACGCAGGGGACACGGGTTTGATCCCTGCTCGGGGAGAACTCCACATGCTGTGGGGCAGCTAAGCCCACAGGCCCCAAGTGCTGAACCCCGCTAGCCCTAGAGCCTGTGCTCCACAACAAGAGAAGCCCCGGCAATAAGGAGCCCGCACACCACAGCTAGGGACTAACCCCTGCTCGCTGCAACTAGAGAAGAGCCTGAGCAAAGCAACGGACACCCAGCACGGCCAAAACTAGCTAAATAAATAAAAGTTTAAAAAAGAACACAACCAGTTCCTGTGTTGAAGCTCTAAACCCCAAGGTGATGGCATTAGGAGGTGGGCCCGGGGGGGACGGGATGAATCATGATGGCAGAGCCCTCAGGAATGGGATTAGTGACTTATAAAAAATGGACCCCAGAGGTCTCACTCACCCCTTCCACCATATGAGGAAACCAGCCTGAAGACTGAACTTGTGGTTATGAAACAGGAAGTGCGGCTCTCACAGACGTCAGATCTCTTAACACCTTGCACTTGGACTTCAGAACTTGAGAAGTGTCTGTGGTTCCTAAGCCACTCAGCCATTGGTATTCCGTTTGAATAGACTAAGACAACGCTGACATGGCCCACAGACTTCCATGAGGCCACAGCCCCTTGAGAGGTGAGGCGGCCTCACCCTCCTCTGGGGTACAGACTAGGCTAGGAGGGGTGAGACCTCTTATGATGCACCCCTGCCCCCCGGCGGCTAGTCCCAGTGTCACAGGTAGGACAAGGACACAGGCAGTGTCACAGGGTATCCTCTGGATTCCCAGAGGAGCTGACAATCACAAACCCCAGCCAGGCAGCAAACGGGATGGCCACACACACACCAATGACCTTATAAGCCCTGACACTCAACTGTCTCAGCCACACACGTCCAGGCAGGCACTCTCAGTGAGTCACAGGGGTGAGTCACATTACAAGCCCAGGGGTGGGAACACCCACATGCATATCTCAATGGCCACCAGCATCTGAGAGAAACACAGCCATGCAAAAGTCACCAGTCAGGTGTGAAAATGGGCACTGACAAGTTAAAATGCAGTTGGGGAACTTCCCTGGAGGTCCAGTGGTAAAACTCTGTGCTTCCATTGCAGGGGGCACGGGTTCAACGTTCAGTCCCTAGTCGGGGGGACTGAGATCCCACAACCTCATGTCAATGTCAAAAACCACAACAAGAAAAACAGAACAAAATCACATGCAGTCCCCAGAGCAGGGACACAGCTGTTGAACATCCAGACATGCACGGGGACCCAGTCCCAAAGCCAGGCACTCTCAGATTGGCACACCAACCCACACCATCACAGGTGCCCTCTCTCCCTCATAACCTCTGCTTGCACACATGCACAGGTCACACATGCACCCCCGTGAGCACTCACTGATCTGAACGTGTGTACAATGTGGTGTCAGTGAATCCTTGCACAATACACGCAGGCCCATACAGGCACACGTGTACGCACGAGACACGGATGCTCGCACACACATGCATGTAGACGCAGGACACACACACACACTGGTACGTACTCACTGAGACTTGAAAGTCTGCACACTAGTGTGCACGCACACAGGTGGGTGGACACACAGGCCTTCCCACCCTAAGACGCACAGGCGCACAGTAAGACATCAATGTCCACACACTTGGTTTAAACTCCACAGTCCCTAGAGCTCACTGTCCAGCTGGCGGCTGCCCCTCCTGCCCTGCCCCCACCCCACCACCGCCACCCCCATGCACTCACAGCAGGGGTCCGTGGATACCATCCTGGATACTCATCACCAGCCGTGGAGGAGCCACGTCGTGGCACAGGTAGTGGTTGGAGTCGGCGGTCAGGCGAAAGTAACCATCCACCAGTGACACCAAGGACAGGGCCGCAGCTCGGGAAGGCAGGGTCAGCTCCTGCAGGCCGGGGGCGGGGGTGGGGGGTCATCAGGCACGCATCACAGGCCGGAGGCATCTGCCCCCCTCAGCCCGGCTCCACAGCCCCAGGCCCCACCAGGCACTTGTTGTCCTGACAATGGATGCTGACGTGGCGTTCCTTCAGCACCATGTGGGTGATGTCCTGGAAGTCGCAAAAGTAGCACCAGGGGGTCTCCCGAGGTCTGTCTACTGGCTCACTGCCTGCCTTCTGGGCCTTCATTTTCTTCCCAGATGGGCCAGCATCAGGCATCCTGCTGCCGCCACCACCACCACCATCACCAGGCCCCTGGAAGCCAGCATGTGGGGCAGGTGAATAGAGCAAGGTTATGCCTGTTCAGTCCTCCTGCCTTTCCCTCCCTGCGGAGAGGCAGAGCCGGAACAGGTTACCTATTCAGGCACCTACCCATGAGTGCAGTGTCACAGGCTGGACGGGGGACCCATCCAGAGAGATACAGTCACCAGAAGATGGAACTTTGGGGAGGGCAGAAAGGGCGCTCCTAGCCCTCTTGGCCCCAGAGGTTAAAGGTGTTCTCCAGAAGCAGAGACCCTAGCCATCAGCTCCCCGGGGGTGGGGGGGTGGGGGGCAGGCAGAGGACTTATCACCATGGGGGTTGAAACAGCTGCTGTCCCTCTATTGAAGGGCAAGCTGAAGGAAATGGGCTTGGCCTGGAGCTGATCCAGGCTGACCAGGTAACCAAGTATGTGGCATAGACTTTTAATTCCACGGCAGACTAGGAGAATGTCGTATTATTGGAAGGGATCTGGAACCAACATGCATTGGAAATGCTTAGGCAGAACATTAAGGCTGAACTTAATTCTTGATTGCAGGTCTTATTAGAGCCTTTAAGACACTATCCAAGAAACAGACCCCCAGCACAGAGAAACATATCCCAGAGCCATGTAGGGAAAACCACCTTTGCCACAGCCACCTTCCGAGGCCAAAGTCAAGGCTGAGCAGGAGCCCACGCCCTCCACTGTCAGACAGTAGAGGCACCCCACTCACCTCCGCCCGCACCAGCCGCCACCGGATGCCTTCTGTGCCTGACACCAGCACCTCGTGGGTGGGGGGTCCGGCAGCAGACTCAGACCCGGGTTCGGGAGGGGCCTGCCTACCGTCCTGGATGTAGCAGGGCTCCCCTTCCACCTGGGACAGCAGCTCCAGGTGGCACACGGGCACACGCTCTGTGCCAAAGCGGGGCGCCAGCCGCTCGAGTGTGGCCAGGTACTTCACCATGACGACCTGCTGGGAGAGGCAGCTGGGCTGGAAGGCCCGTAGGAACTTGCGGAAGATGCTCCGTTGGCGCAGCCGTGTCAGAGCATTGTGCTGCTGGATCTGCTGCCGGAAGGAGCGTGGGATACAATCCTTGAAGCTGTGGGGATGACCAAGAGGGGCAGTTCAGGCACCCCGGCTGGGCGATAATGGGAAAGTGGTTTAACCTCTCTGAACCTCAGCTGCCTCATCTAGAAAACAGGCAACCTAAATGCCATCGACAGATGAGCAGATAAAGATGTGGTGTGCATATATAATGGAATACTATGCAGCCATGAAAAAGAACGAAATCATGTCAGCGGCAGCAACACGGATGCAACTAGAAGTTGTCATACTGAGTGAAGTAAGTCAGAAGGAGAAAGACAAATACCATATGATACCACTTATATGTGGAATCTAAAACCCAACAGGGACTTCCCTGTTGGTACAGTTGATAAGACTCTGTATTCCCAATGCAGGGGGCCTGAGTTTGATCCCTGGTTGGAGAACTAAGATCCCACAACTAAGCTTGTGTGCCACAACTACTGAGCCCCATGCATTCTAGAGACTATGTACCACAACTAGAAAAGCCTGCACAACACAATGAAGAAAACAGTGCAGCCAGAAATTTTAAAAATTAATAATTAAAAATAAAATATGACACAAATGACCTTCTCCACCAAACAGAAGCAGAATTATGGACATAGAGAACAGACTGGTGATTGCCAAGGGGGAGGGAGTTGGGGGAGGGATGGAGTGGGAGGTTTGGGTTAGCAGATGTAAGCTTCAGTATGGATAGACAACAAGATCCTACTGTATTGCACAGAGAACCATATTCAATATCTTGTGATAAACTATAATTGAAAAGAATATTTAAATATATATATATATAACTGAATCACCTTGCCGTACAGCAGAAATTAACACATTATAAATCAACTGTACTTCAACCAAAATATAGTCAGCTAAAAAACATTAAAATTGAATAAAAGTACAAACAATAAAAAAAAAAAAGCAGGCAGGCTGTCATGAAGGTGGAAAGAGAATGTGACAAAGGGCGAGCATAGCAAGGCCAAATGGTGTCAGGATCAAGGCCCAGGGCTCTGGAGGGGACTACGTGGCTGAAATTCCAGATATTGGGTGAATTCCTTAAGCTCTAAAGAGCTCCGTCTTTTCATCTGTAAAATGGGATCAAACAGTACCCACATCTAGGGCTGACGAGAGAACTGGGACTATTGATTGGCACAAAGTAAAGACTATGTGAGTGTTGGCTATTATTATTACTAGAGAAGTCACTATTGTTTTGATCATTAATATGATTATCAATAAAAGGACAGCTCTGGGAAGCCGGTCTGCTCCTCACAAAGCTGTACTCTTCACCTCTTCTCCTGCCTGAACCGCCCACCGCAGAGCCCATTTATTTTATTATGTACGTATGTTTTTTTTTTTATTTTTTGGTTGTGCTGGGGGAGCACAGGCTCTAGAGCGAAGGCTCAGTAGTTCTGACACAGGGGTGGCACGTGGGATCTTCCCGAACCAGAGATCAAACCCAAGTCCCCTGCATTGGCAGGTGGATTCCTAGACTAGCAAAGTCCCCAGCACAGCCCATTCAGATTACAGGTTTCTACACCCCATCTTGGGTTCCCCCAGTGGCTCATTGTGGTAAAGAATCCCCCTGCCAATGCAGGAGACGTGAATTTGATCCTGGGTTAGGAAGATTCCCCTGAAGTAAATGGCAACCCACTTCAGTATTGCTGCCTAGGAAATCCCATGGACAGAAGAGCCTGGGGGACTATAGTCCACGAACTCGCAAAGAGTCAGACATGACTGAGCAACTAAACACACACATACACTCACACACACAAGCCTTATCTTCCATGTCCCAGGCCATTTCTTCCATCCCTTGAACAGAGGGATCCTAAAGCTCAAGGTTCTAGCTCTCTTCTGCCCCTACTCCCAACCATTCCAGGGCTCCCTAAAGAACTTGAGGGAAAAAGACCCCCGATTAGTGCCTGGCTGACTCCAGCACTTGGGCAATTGCATTCCAAGTTCAATTCCCCTGGAAACAGGCCTTTGCCGCCTGCTGCCTCTGGGCCTCTGTATATGTTGTTCCCACTGCCTCCAATGCTTTGCCAAAGCAGTCCACGTCTGGATAAAGCCAACTCAACCTTCAGGTCTTAGCAGAAATGTCACCCCAGGAGCATCCTCTGATCTCCAGGCTAGGTAGAGTGTTTCCTCTGGGCTCCCCAGCATCCTGGCTTCATGGTCACAGCCCTGGTCCTCCAGAGTGATAACATGACAGGGATTGAAAAATAGGTGCTTTAAGAATTGCAGAGACATGGGTATATACCTATGGCCGATTTGTAAAACACTGTAAAGCAATTATCCTCCAATTAAAAATAAATTAGTTTTTTAAAAAAGGAATTGCAGTCCTAGGATTTCCCTGGTGGTTTAGTGGTAAAGAATCCACCTGCCAACGCAGGGGGCAGGGGTTCAGTCCTTATCTGGGACGATTCCATATGCTGCAGAGCGGCTAAGCCCATGCGCCACAACTACTGAGCCTGAGCTCTAGAGCCTGTGCTCCGCAACAAATCACTGCAATGAGAAGCCCGTGCACTGCAACTAGAGAGTGGCCTCTGCTCGCCGCAACTAGAGAAAGCCTGCACCGCAACAAAGGCCCAGCGTAACCAAAAATAAATAAATCATTTCAAAAAGAATTGCAGGTCCTAGGGACTTCCCTGGTGTTCTAGTCATTATGAATATGTCTTTCAATGCAGGGGACGCAGGCTCGATCCTCGGTCGGGGAACTAAGACCCCACGTGACTTAAAGCAACTTAGTCCACACGTTGTAACTAGAGACAAGACCATGAAGATTCCATATACCTCAACTAAGACTTGATGCAGCCAAAAATAAATAATTTTTGTTTTTTTTTTTAATGCAGGTCCTGGGACATTCCCTGGCGGTTTTCAGTGGTTAGGATTTGGCGCTTTCACTGCTGGAACCTTGCTTTCAAACCCTGATGGGGGAACTAAGATCCCACAAGCTGCATAGCACAGCCAAAAAAGAAAAACAAAAAACTGCAGGGTTGCCTCCTCCAGGCAGTGTGCCCTGATTGCTCCAGTCCTCACCTCAGTGGAGGTGAGTAACTCCCCCAGACTCCTGCCTTCTCCCTTCCCTTGAATTCTAGGGAGTCATCCAAGCTCACTCTACTCCAGCCATACTTCCAACACATCAGGCACAGCCCAGGCTCAGGGCTTTTGCACTGGCTGATACCTCTGCAAACTTCTCTTCTCACTAATACCCACCTGGCTCCCTCTTTTACTTCCTTCAAATCTCTGAAAGTGAATGTCACCTTTTCAGTGAGAAACTGATGACCCAGTTTTAAACTGTATGCCCCTCATTCTCTAATACCCACTTCCTCTTTTCCAGTTTAATTTTTCCCCATTGCATTCATCACCATCAGAAACACTATACATTTTACTTTTGTATTTTGCTTATTGCCTGTCTTCTCCATTAAATATGAGCTCCAGGGACTTCCCTGGTGGTCTAGTGTCTAAGACTCTGTGTTCCCAATGCAGGGGGCCCTGGGCTTGATCCCTGGTCAGGGAACTAGATCCCATGTGCCACAACTAAGAGTTTGCATGCCACAACTAAAGATCCTGCATGCTGCAACTAAGACCCAGCACAGCCAAAATAAATACACAATTTTTTTTTTAAGTGAGCTCTAGGAAGTTACAGATTTTGTCTGCCTGGCTTACCATTGTGTGTCCAACATCCAAAACTAGTGCCAGCACACAGCAGGTGCTTGATAAATGTTTGTTGAGTGAATGAAGGCATGGCAGTATGCAAAGTTTACCCTGGCCTTCAGATATACGGGCATGTCCACCTACCTATGCAACGTCCCCGCCCCATTCCCAGATACCTGGTCTTCTTGGCCACCTTCTCAAGGGGGACACCATGGCGGAGAGCAAGGTGGCAGAGGTGCAAAAGGGCCATGCCCAGGCTCTCATTCTGGAAGTGGTGGATCTCCTCCTCGCTAGACAGCTCCCATAGTGATGCCACATCATTTACAAACTCATGCTTGCCCTGGGGATGGGGAACCAGGCAGAAAGGGAAGTGTGAGAACCTGTTCACTCCCCAGCTTCCGATTACTTTCAGGAAGGGAGGGACTCCATATGTATGCCTCATCGGCCCAATCCTATGCCTGTGGCAGACATCACTAATCAACCACAGTACTCTCACCCCTGCAACCCTAAGAGTCCACAACCCTTTTGTTCAGGCAGCCAAAGGATCCCAGATGGCATCAGTGAAACCCACTAGCTATAGCAAATTGGGAGGGAAGTGGCGGCTCCTCAATCACCCAAGGTCCCTCACAGATAGTCACGCCTCCCCAGCCCTGCTCACACCTGCTCAAAGAGGTACTCAAAGGAGGCAGGGTCCAGGAGCTGCACCCCCTGCTCTCCCTGTTCTGAGGAAGTCTCGGACCCTGGGGGCCCGCAGCGGTACACAGCCGGCTCCTGAGGATTCGTGCCATGCCAGTTTCGGAAATAAAACCTGCAGGAAAGGAGAGGGTGCAATCAGGGTTTAGCATGGATTCAGGCCAAGTCTTGGCAGGTGGGGACAAGGGAGAGAGGGGAGAGGACAAAAGCCTTCTAAGGGGACTTTGCCCACCTCATGCGGAAGTGCAGCGTCAGGCTGGAGTCCCTGGAGGTATCCAGGATGTGATTTGGAGGCAGCCAGACCTGGGCCTGGGCATCGAAGAGGGCAAAAAGATTGAAGCAGGGTGGAGTGATGCCTGCACAGGGGAGAAATGAGTCAGGAAGTTGATGTCTGCTGCCATTAGCCTCGTGGACTCCTAGACCTGCTGTCTCCCTTCACAACCTGTCCCTGGCCTCCTCCCCTGCCAACAGAAGACAATGCAATATGTAGACCATGCTGGCCACACAGAAAAACTACATTTCCCAGTCTCCCTTGCAGCTAGGATGAGGGTATTGGACAGTTTTTTGGCCAATGGGATGTGGACAGAAGGAATATATGTTTTCCAGGTCTAGAGATAAACTCTCTTGTCCTCTTCCCTACTGGGGGAATGTTGGAGACCCCTCATGCGTAGTGGTGAAACTACAAGATAGAGGGGAACCATTTGACCAGCATTAAACGCTAGGGCATCAGCATTAAATGCTTACATCTGTTGGCTCAGATGGTAAAGAATCTGACTGCAATGTGGAAGACCCAGGTTCGATCCCTGGCTCGGGAAGATGCCCTGGAGAAGGGAATGGCTACCCACTCCAGTACTCTTGCCTGGAGACTTCCATGGGCAGAGGGCCCTGGTAGACTACAGTCCATGGGGTCGCAAAGAGTCAGACATGTTTAAGCAACTAACACTTTCACTATAAGATTTAAGGTAAATTTTCACCATCTTGACCCAGGAGAATTTGGAGGATGCTGCTTTTGACTGCAGTAAACCTAGCACAGACTTACTAACACAGCTCTTCATACTGCTGGCACTTTGCCTGTCTCTCTTGGAACTCCAGCCCCAGAGAAATAGCCAACTACCCTTGGCTGTCATCCTGTAGATATCTCTGGCCCCCTGAGATGTGCTTTGTTACAGACAGATCTCATCTGAGGTCCCCAAACCTGCCCCCTCTCAGCTTAGTTCTCTAAGCCAGGATTTCATCTTTGTCCCTAACTCATCCCACCCACTCAAAATCAGATTGGTCACAAGTCCTGTTCTTTCTGCACCCTTCATTCTCTCTAGGATCCACCCACTTCCTTCAAATACAAAACCCAGTCCCAGTTCAGCCTCCAGATTTGTTGTCATTCCCCATACTGGCCACCCAAGCATCTTTTTTAATACATACGTCACTTAAAAACTGTATCTAAAATAGTTCTCTTGGAATAATTTATAATCACCTAAGTACTAGCCTGGAGAAGGCAAGGGCACCCCACTCCAGTACTCTTGCCTGGAAAATCCCATGGACAGAGGAGCCTGGCAGGTTTCAGTCCATGGGGTCGCTGAGAGTCGGACATGACTGAGCGACTTTGCTTTCACTTTCCACTTTCGTGCATTGGAGAAGGAAATGGCAACCCACTCCAGTGTTCTTGCCTGGAGAATCCCAGGGACGGGGGAGCCTGGTGGGCTGCCGTCTATGGGGTCGCACAAAGCTGGACACGACTGAAGCGACTTAGCAGCAGCAGCAGCAGCAAGTACCAGCCACTAAAGAAATAAAACTTGGCAAGTCCAAATGAAACCCTCACCTACATCCACCTCCTCTCCCCTATTACAAAGAGGTAACCATACTCCTGAACTAGAGTTTATCATTTTCATATTTTCTATGACCTAGTTTTTAAATGCTATAAACTTGAATGTGGTATTATATCATAGGTGTCCTTAAGCAATTTGTTTTTTCAGGCTATGATAGCTTTTAAGCTTCACATGTGATACATGTAACTTTGGTTGAATTTCTTTTTCCTGGCTGCATACTATTCCAGCGTTCAACCACACTGCAACTGATCTGTGCATTCTCCTCTACACAGACTTTGAGATGGCCTCTTATTTCTCAGTAAGATAAATGAGGCTGCTCTGAACATTCTCGTGTGTGTCTCCTGGAACACATGTGCCAAGTGTTTGTAGAGTGCGTATCTAGGAGCGGAACTGTGTGCCCTCAGGGAATGTATTCAGGTTATATGATGCCAAATTGCTCTACAAAAATCACTGCATCCAGGAATTCCCCAGAAGTCCAATGGTTAGGACTTGGTGCTTTCACTGCTGAGGACCCAGATTCAACCCCTGCTTGGGGAACTAAGATCCCACAAGCCACATGCACAGCCAAAAAAAAAAAAAAAATCGTTACATCCAAGTGTACTGCACCCCAAAGAAGGAGCACGCCTCCCTGTGAGACAGCTTCCTAAAGAGCCAATCTGTGGGCCTTCCCTGGTGGTCCAGTGGCTAAGAATCCATTTTCCAATGCAGGGGATGCAGATTCAATCTCTGGTCTGGGAACTATGGTCCCACATGCCCATAGGGCAACTAAGCCCATAAGCCACAAGTGAGGAACTCCTACACCGCAGCAAAGATCTGATGCAGCCAATAAATAAATATTTAAAATAAAAACAAAAGACAAATGTTAGAGGAAGATATTCTTTGAAAAAAAAGAACCAATCTATTTCACTCTCTGGCTTAAAACTTCCATGGCCCCCCCTTTACCCCATAAGAAAGCTCAACCCCCTCAGCAATGAACAACCATGACCTGGACCCAGACAGTCATGCTCTGCTTTGAATTTCTAGTTTCCCTTCTAAATTCTTGAAACTGATGCTCCAGTTACTCTTAAGATCTTTTGCTTCCTCAAACAGATCAGGTTCTCTGGGACCTTCACCAGGCATGATTCACACACCGAGCAAACCTGTCCGACTTCTTTACGGTCAGAGACTTCCCTAGTGGTCCAGTGGCTAAGACTCTGTGCTCCCAATGCAGGAGGGCCAGGTTCTATCCCTGGTCAGAGAACTAGATCGAACATGTTGCAACTAAAGATCTCAAGTGCCGCAACTAAGACCTGGTGCAGTCAATAATTTATTTATTTATTATTGGAAAATAAAGTATTGCCATCAGTGGAAAAGTACAAAGTGTTATAGAAATCTACCAGAAAGCCCCCATTCAGTTGTGGGGCAGGGGAGTTGACAGGATGTCCTGGAGGAAGGGGTAGGTAAGTGAAGTCCACTTGAAGATGCCCTCTCCTCCTCTGGCAGAAGACATTAGACTCCCGAGCACATCCACTGCAAGCTCTCATGACCATTCCATGTTTCCCTACTGCTCCTGGGAAAAAGTCTAGACTCTCCCTCTGGGGTTTAAGGCCCTTAAGCTTTAAGGTTTAAGACCTGACTCTGGCTGACCTCTCACCCATCATCCCCCTTCCTGGAGTTCCTTGCTCCTAACCTCACCCACCACACTCTGCTCCTGCCACAACAGCCAGAGCATCTTTGACCCTTGAGTCCAACCATGTTCCTCCTTTGCTCACAGTCCTCCATGGCTCCCACCTCACTTGCAGTAAAATTTGAAGTCTTCCTTGAGGCCCAAAAGGCTCTGCACAACCAGCACCAGCACCTGTTCACCCTCACCTATCCCTGTCTCCCCTTCACTCACTTGGCTACAGCCACACTGGCCTCCTCACAGTTACCAGCAAGTTGCCACCTCAGGGCCTTTGCACTTGCTGTTCTCACTGCCAGATGTCCCTGTGGCTTGCTCCCTTATCTCCTCAAGTTTTAAATCTTTTTTTTTGGCTGCACCATGTGACTTGTGGCATCTTCGTTCCCAGTCAGGGATCAAACCCTGGCTCCCATCCCCACAGTGGAAGTTCAGAGTATTAACCTCTGGACCACCAGGCAAGTCCCCAAGTGTTAAATCTTTTACCATCATCTCTAGCCTTCTATTCAGTTTCCTTATTTATTGCATTTCTTGATGAGCCCTATAAGAATTCAGCTGCAATGCAAAAGACCTAGGTTCGATCCCTGGGTTGGGATGATCCCCTGGAGAAGGGAATGGCAACCCACTGAAGTATTCTTGCCTGGGAAATCCCATGGACAGAGGAGCCCGGCAGGCTACAGTCCATGGGGCTGCAAAGAGTTGGGCACAACGGAGCAACTAACACTTTCGCTTTCATTAGAATATCAGCTTTTTACAAAGCTGATTGCAAATTACAGAGACAGTAATTGGGGACTGGCACACAGAAGGTGCTCACTCAATGCGGGCTGCGTGAACGGGCAGACAACTGGATGAACGGGGCCCAGTGGCTGCTGGCACCTCCACCCCGCCATGGAGCTGATGGCCGGGACTCACCGACTTTGTGTGCGATGTGGATGCAGACGTCCTCTGCGGTCAGTGTGGCCTCAGTGAAGGTGACCCAGGGCTCCCCACCACTGGGACCAGCCCAGTGCAGAAGCACTTTCAGGCCTCCTCTGCTGGCCATGGGCTGAGCTCCGTCCCCACCGGGCTTCCTGCCCCTGGTGGCGGCCCTCCATTGGCACAGAGGCATGCTCTTGACAGCCAGCCTGCCTGAGAAGGAACACTCTATCAACCCCCAGGCCTCAGCGTTGAGGGCCCTTTTTAGTACCTCAACCTTCCCACCTTCCAGACTGAAGGGAAAGATTTGGGACCTCTCACTGTGCAAACTTAGGCACCCAATTCCCCTTCATGGTCCTCAGTTTCCACATCTGTTTGATGGAGCTGGGGTATGCGACACCCTCCCCCCACGCTACATCAGTCATGAACAGCACCACCAACAACCCCTTTACTGGACAAATTCACCAATACAAGTCTGCCCTGAACCCACCTTTCCAAAATAACCTGGGTGGTCAGACAGACCTGGGGGTGAATCCTGTGTCAACTCAGGTGCAAGTCATTTCGTCATGTTGGGCCTCAGTCTCCCCATCTGGAAAATAGACATGCTGAGAGTGTTGCCATGAAGAGACGGTTGTGACGTTTCTACATTCCTTTTAAAGGAACTTTTACACTAGAGTTGTAAGGGAATGATGCACTACTGTTACCATATTGTGAGCAGGTGGGGACTCACTATTGCCATTTTGTTGTTTTCTGGTTGCTTCGTAGACAGGTTCTTCCTTGTTTCTTATCCTGCTGTCTGTCTTTGTGTTTGGATGAAATTACTACAGGATTTTTCCCTTGTGGTTACCCTGAGTTTAATAAGTTTACGATGTGTCATGAGACTTACAAAACATACCTCACACTGACAATACCCTCTTTTAAGCTAACAGCTTCCCTTTAGTAGAATTTGTAAACTTTACATTTTTAATTCTCCACCTCACATTTTGATTACTGCTGTTACACTTCACATTTTTTATATTGTGTAACTAAATCGGATGATTGTAGTTATCGTTATTTTTTTCTACGTTTTTTTTAAAACGAGTTATAAATCATTTAGGTTGTGATGTTTCAACACAGTTCTGCATGTTATACATTAAGACTCTTGATACAGGCATGACCAAATAACAAATGTGATAAAGCCAAGAATGAAGTCATCATCATTAATTTTATAATCATAGTCGTTTCTCTCTTTCAGCCAATATTCCTGCCTCCCACATCTACCCCTACTAGTGACCCCGGTCCCTGCTAGCTCCCTGAGCGGCGGAGGGGTTCTGTTCAGCTCTTTTCCCAATAATCTGGAACTTTTTGAGTGACAGACCCAGGGTCCAGGCTTCCTGAGGTCTCCAAGTATTTCCAGAGAAGGACTGTTAGCAATTAGAGCGACGTTACTCATTTAAGACCGTGATGAGGGAAAAACAGAATATCACAATTGCATAATGCCGGATTTCTCAGGAATCAACTTCTCTCGGAGCCTGTTTCCTCATTTGGAAAATAGGCATAAAACAGTCTCTCTCTCTCAAAGGGTTGTTGGGAGGATTCAATGAGCCTGAAGCAGAGAAAAGGCTCCGCGAGGGGCCTGGCAAACGCTCGGTAAGTGTTAGCAAAGTCGGACACGACTGACCTACTGAACAACAACAAATGTTTATCTTTGAGATAAGACCCTAGGGATCGGGCTTTTGTAGTGGCCACCTCCTCCTTCCTCATCCCCACTGGGCACAGATCTAGCTTTGAAGATGAGGTCTAAACCAGGTCCGCAGCCCCCAACCCCCTAAGCACCCCCACCTCCCCGCCAGAAACCTCCAAACCCTGCTGGCAGGAACCGCGCTGTGTACCCACCCGGCATCGACCAGTCACAAGGCAGTGTGGGGGCTTCTAACCACCTCCTGCAAAGGGCAGTTCCGCCAGCTGCATCCTTCCTGATGATCTCCCGGGCGCGCTCCCTCGCACCCCCTTCCAGACTCACCCTTTCCCCGGAACTCGCTACAAGCCTGGACCCCGCCCCACCGCCCGGGGCAGCGGCCTCCGGATCGGCCCTGGAACAGCACCTCCCATTGGTCGCCTGAAACGGGCACATTCATTGGTCGCTGTCCTGCTCCGCCCCTTCACTACTACGGCGGCTACCCTATTGGTTCAGGCTTCAAGTTCGCTCAACCCGGGGCGGGAGAGGGAGGACTCTCTGCGGAGCCGAGACTTCAGTTACCCACGCAGGTGTGGATCCAAGCAAGTCAGGCTTCCAGCCCTTACCCTGGTGCAAGGTCAGATCGTCATCTCGGCGATCAAGGTTGCAGCTGGCTGCCATTCAATCCTCCAACCCCGCTGCCGTGTGGCCCTACATTCCGTCCTGCTTCTCCTCCCTGTCTGCGTGGCCAGCCCTGATTCTCGGAGCTGAGACACCCCACCAACCACCAACCACCCCCACCCCCACCCCCGCCTTCTGGAGGAGGCATTCAGGGCCCACCAGCTCACATTCCTTTTCTGAGCATCCATAGCCCTGACCCTGGGAAAGATTGAGGGCAAGAGCAGAAGGGGGCGACAGGATGAGATGGTCGGATGGCATCACTGACTCAATAGACAGGAGTTTGAGCAAACACTGCGAGACAGTTAAGGACAGGGAAGCCTCGGGTGGCAGAGTGACTGAAGAACAACAACAAAATCCTGTTCTCTGAGTCCTCTTTGCTCAAGGTAGCAGCTTGGGCGTCCCACCTGATCCAAGTTCTGATCCCTGCAAAACAAGTCGCTGCTATTTACATTTGCAGAGAAGGCTGTGCACTCAGCGTTTCGTACGCATTATTTCATTTTGTTGCAGGAAGAGGGACCCCTTCCAGGGCCTGAGAGTGGGCTCTTGTCTAACACTTGGAAATGAATTACCAAGGAGACACATGTACTGACAAAGCAACAGACATCATTGGAAAGGGGCGCCTGGGGGGAAAAGAGAGCAGCAGAGTAAGGGAACCCAGGAGAACAGCTCTGCTGCATGGCTCTCAGTCTTGGGTTTTATGGTGATGGGGTTAGTTTCTGGGTTGTCTCTGGCCAATCATTCTGACTCAGAGTCCTTCCTGGTGGTGCATTCATGGATCAGCCTAGATGAATTCCAGCAAGGATTCTGGGAGGTGGTCGGAGTATGTATTGGCATTTTCTCTCTCCTTTTGACCTTTCCCAATTTCTTTCTGGTTGGTAGTAGTTTGTTAGTTCTGCATTTTACCAGAATTTTGGTAGTTTGTTAGTTCTGCATTCCTCCTGTTGTAAGATAACTCACTCAAGTAGTTACTTTAAAGCCTGGCCAGGGCAGCAGGTTTCAGTCAGTGGGTTCCCCTAACAATTTGATGTTAGCAGTAGTCCTCTGGCATCTCTTATCCCCATTTCTCAGAGAAAGAAACCGAGGTACAGAGAAGTGACAAAGACTCTTTCCTTGCCCAAACTTTAGTTCTCTGAGCCTTCTTCTGTTTTTTAAAATAATTTTATTTATTTTTATTTTTGGCTGTCCTGAGTCTTCGTTGCTAGGCTTTTCCCTAGTTGCCCCTAGTTGCCCCGAGTTCCCTAGTAGCCCCTAGGGCAGGGGCTACTGTCTAGTTGTGGTGTGCGGGCTTCTCATTGCTGTGGCTTCTCTTGTTGTGGAACACAGGCTCTAGAGTGCTTGGGTTTCAGTAGTTGCGGCTCCCGGCCCCTAGAGCACCGCTCAATAGTTGTGCTGCTTGGGCTTGGTTGCTCTGTGACAAGTGGGATCTTCCCAGACCAGGGATCAAACCTTAATCTCCTGCATTGGTAGATGGATTCTTTACCCCTAAGCCACCAGGGAAGCCCTGAGCCTTCTTCTTGACTACCCCTCAACCTTGGCCCCGGTCCTGTCTTTGTCCTGCACAGTCATCCCCCGACCCCTAATATCTGATCAGGTTTCTCAGTCTCCACCATTGATGGATAAATATTCATCCTCTCTTTAGCAAGAATCCTGTGAGGTCAGTTTAGCAAGAATCCCCCTACCCCTATTTTTTTTTAAGATTTATTTATTCATTTATTTATTTTCTTTTTGGGATCAGCTAAGGATTGCCCTTGCTGCTCGGGCTTCTCACAGTGGTGGCTCCTCTTATTGGGGAGCACTGACTCTAGGTGTTCTGACTTCAGTAGTCACAGCACGTGGGCTTCAGTAGTTGAGGCTCTTGGGCTGCAGTAGTTGAGGCTCTTGGGCTGCAGTAGTTGAGGCTCTTGGGCTGTAAGCACTGACTGAGCAGTTGTGGCATACTGGCTTAGTTGCTCTGCACCATTTAGGATCTTCCCGGACCGAGGATCGAACCCGTGTCCCTTGCATTCCAAGGTGGATTCCACTGGACCACCAGGGAATCTCCCGTCCCACCCTCCCCCTGTCACACCCTCATTCTGCTCTTTGCCTGGCAATCCCCAGATGTCTTTGCTGCATTCAGAGTTGAGCCCAATGCTCTCCCCTTTTGCAGTCCCCCATTGCAGTTGTCCTGAAGAGTCTCCCTTACTGTTTTGTGAGTCAAAAATATTGCCTGCCATATCAGTAAACAAAGGATATTGCAGTCATCCAACCATCACATTGAGTAGGAGCTAGATGGGCCTCAGGGTAAACAGCTGGTTTCTCCCCTGTGGACAGATACTCCAAATTAGCAGGAGACAGAAGAGCTAAGCTTTGCCCAGGTAAAAGACAGAGACCACATATTTCTCATTCTCCAAGTCATGGATGGTGACTGCAGCCATGAAATTAAAAGACGCTCCTTGGAAGAAAAGCTATGACAAACCTAGAGAGTGAATTAAAAATCAGAGATACCACCTTGCAGACAAAAGTTCCTTATAGTCAAAGCTATGGTTTTTCCAGTAGTCATGTATGGATGTGAGAATTGGACCATTTAAGGCTGAGCGCTGAAGAACTGATGCTTTTGAACTGTGGTGCTGGAGAAGACTCTTGAGAGTCCCTTGGACAGCAAGAAGATCAAACCAGTCAATCCTAAAGGAAATCAGTCCTGAATATTCACTGGAAGAACTGATGCTGAAGCTGAAACTCCAATACTTTGGCCACCTGATGTGAAGAGATGACTCATTGGAAAAGCCCCTCATGCTGGGAAAGACTGAGGGCAAGAGGAGAAGGGATGACAGACGATGAAATGGTTGGATGGCATCACTGATTCGAAGGACACGAAT